GAGGAAGAGTGGGGAGACAGATTAGCTTCCTGCTTCAGAGCCCCAGTTCTGGTTACAAATCACTGAGTCTCCACTGGCTGCCCTGTCTTCCCAGGTGAGAGGCGCCCAGAACTCTTCCATCCCCCAACTCTCAGCCCAGCTAAGCCTCTTCCTCTGCATGAGGCCCAGTTCACACCAGCATCAGGGGCACCCTTGCAAACACTCCTGGCCTCTCTCCCTCCTTCAGTCTTCCTATTCACTGGGCATTAACACAGTTACTATCTGATCCATCCCATGAATTAGCTTTCTGATTTGCCCTTCCCTTGATAACCCCTTAAGTGTTGGATATCTTATATTTCTTATGGTTGCCACATACTTTGCATACAGCAGTTACTCAATAAAAATGTTTAACTGATTGATATTATGGAGTTATGACTATGGTATAAGAAACCTATGACAATGAGATTTTCCTCCCTAAAAATGTCTACTGGACATTCTTAGCTTGCAGGTCAGTCCCTGAATAGGAATTAGGACTGTCTTGTGCTGGGTGACACTCTGTTTCCTCTGCTGTCAAATCATCTACATACTTTTTATGGAGGATCACAGTGGTGGGACGAGGAACATGTAAGCCAGTTTCCCTTACAGCTCATGAGCTTCCGCCTGTACATTATCTGCACTGCTGTAAATCCTTGGTGTTTTTCAATTCAGTTCTAGCAGGTTACGGGGCATTGTACACACAGAGACCTGGGTTTGAAATCTGGTCCCATTGCCTAGTAGCTATAAAATCTTGGGAAAATAAGTATCTCTGGACCTCAGCTTCTTCATCTTTAAAATAGGGATAACTCGGAAGATTGTCGTAAAAGTAAATGAGATAATATTAATGTAACAAATGTCTGAGGCACAGTAGTTGCCCAATAAATGGTTAGTTATTATTATTAAAAAGAAGAGGAAGACACAGCAGGAGGAGGAAGAGGAAGGTGTAGGAACATTTTCTAATTTTTCTTTTCCTTCCATTTGCCTTCCTGGGGCAGGAAATGCCCCCACTGGCACTCCTGAGAAAGGTTAGAAATTCCATTTTCTGACTGCAGTGAGCAAAACCGTTCATTTCTGTCCATCTAGGATGATTCAGATGTGGACCTGCCCTCAGGCAGGGCAATGAGCATCTATAGACACTGCAGAGGCAGTGATTTTTGACTTTTATCCAAGAATGGTTCCTGGCACATATGAGGCACTTGATAAATGTCTGTTTACTGAAGGAACCCCTTGCAGCCCAAGGCCACACAAGATGCAAGTTCACCTCTTAGACTCCCCATCATGGTATTCCACAGGGCCACTGGTCCTGCCCCTCACATTTATCCCATATGAATCTCCTGCTGATGTTCACAAATAACACTGTTGTTTCTGTGGCTATGTCAGCATCCAAGGCCATTTTATCCACAGAAGAATCCTGGGAGATGGGAGGCTGTCCTGGGCACACCTGGGTACCAGTGCTGACCCCCACCAGGCAGCATGGTGGTCCTTGAGTTAAGCAAGTGACAACTCAGCAGGTCCAACTTGCAAACAAATGCAAAAAAAAGAAAAGAAGGAAGGGGAAAGATTAGCTATGAGGACTACTCTGATTGCAGGCACGGGAAAAACACTTACTTTCTTCTTATTTTTTTTTTGAGATGGAGTTTCGTTCTTGTTGTCCAGGCTGGAGTGCAATGGCATGATCTCAGCTCACTGCAACCTCCGCCTCCTGGGTTCAAGCGATTCTCCTGCCTCAGCCTCCCAAGTAGCTGGGATTACAGGCATGCGCCACCACACCTGCCTAATTTTGTATTTTTAGTAGAGACAGGGTTTCTCCATGTTGGTCAGGCTGGTCTCGAACTTCTGACCTCAGGTGATCTGCCCGCCTTGGCCTCCCAAAATGCTGGGATTATAGGCGTAAGCCACCGCGCCCAGCCAAAATACTTATTTTCTAGAGTCAGGCTTTATTTGAGCAAAGCTAAGCAATACTATGCCTTTTCTTTCCTGATAATACTGGTAAAGAAATGTAAAAACCTATTCCAAAATTTGCCTGCACTTCAATTTTATAGTGCTATTCCGTGGGGGAAAAAATCTGCCAAGTCATATATAGGAACTAGAATGGAAATAAGCACGATCTTAAAGTGGTCCTAGGCATATTTTCCTTTTTAAAACAAAGGACAGAAGACCAGTGAGCAGCAACAACAAATGTGAATTTCTCTACATAATGTGCAGCATCCAGGATTGAGGCCAGGCTATCCCTGGTCACAGGGAAGGAAACAAAACGTTGTCACCAGCCCAAGGAATAGACTATTTATGTGTGATGTGTGTGAGGGCTGCTTGGTGTGGTTTCATTTCAGAAACACTGTTGTGGCTGGGCCCCCAGATCTAACACCTCCTACGGTGAACAGAGTCCACCTCCGTTGGGTTACACATCCATGGCCAAATGTAGCACTGTTCTCACCCTTCAACCAAACCGTGGTGACGTCTGGCAAGAGGAGTTTGAGGGAGTGAAGGATGAGCGACTTTCACTTTTTACTTGACATATTTCTGTATTGTTTTAAATGTCTTATAAATAGCATGCATTACTCTATTGCTTAAAAATACATACATATATATTCCCCAAATTAAAGCATGCCTATTCATCAGCAATGAGCTGTTTTAACCGTTTAAACTCTCCATTACCTTCTCCCTCACCTTCACCTTCCCTGCAGACCACAACCCAAACCCTTGGTAACAATCACCTACTGGTTTGAATATTAGTAATCAGAATAGACAGCATTCTTAACTCTCCAATGGGCAGGTCTTGTGCAGAAAGTTCAGGGGTGAAACCCACCTGATCGCTTCATTCTTGTCCTCATGTGGTCATAACCAACTGGCCCTTGAATGAGAGGCGCATGGTCCTGATAAGTTCAGAAGGCCTGTTTCCCATCTCAGATGGAGAGCTCCGAGGCCTGAGCAGAGGGCGAGCCTGGGGCACTGGTCACAGCTGGGTCCTCTCCGACAGTAGTACTTTCTCTGTGCATCCCTGTGTTACTCATGGCCCAAACCTCCCTTGTGAGTCACGGGCTCTGAGGGCTATGGGGCAGGGCAGTGTGGCCTTTTCCGGGAGGTGTGTCCTGAAGCTACCACCACAACGGCCACACCTACCTCCTGGGATTCTGAGTCCCCGCTGTGTCTCCCCACGGCCATGCGCCTGCCTCAGTCATCCTTCTGAAGAGCCTGCATGTCCCCATCTGCCCTGCTCAGTCATCCTTCTGAAGAGCCTGCCTGTCCCAGTCTGCCCTGCTGAACACCACCCCACACCCAGCTGTCTCCTGCATACCCCCAGGGTCCTGCGCACTGCTTCTGGGAGGGAGGCAGATCCTAATGGGCAGAAAGGAATGAATCTGGTCACAACAGTCAGAACTGTCAGGGAGGAAATTAGCAAGGCGACAGGAAAAAGCTAGCAGGGCTTGCACAGGGTGTGGCCAGGGAAGCCTCTCCGAAGTCACCTCGATTTGAAGACCTGGGGGATGAGCAGTAGTGGCCAACTGAAAGCAGGGAGGAAGGTATCCAGGACGAAGTGACAGGCCCAGAAGCCCTGAGGAGACACACGCCACCGTGGCCAAGGCACAGAAAGGCTCTCCCTCCCCGGACCTCCAGGCAGATTTGGCAAACAACCTATTCCTGTATCTCCGCTCTGTGGTCCAACAGGCACCTCAGCCTTCACACATTCAAACCAATGCCCGATACACCTCCACCACCACCTTGCCAAACCTTGCTCTTCACACAGCATTCTCGATCTCAGTGAAAGGCAACCTCATTCTTTCAATTGCTCGGACCCCAAACCTAGAAGTCATCCTAGACTCCTCTCTCTCAAATCCTAGTGCCTGTATCCTACCATGTCTCCCCACCTCCACTGCTATCAGCCAGTTCTCAGCCATCATCATCTTGCATCTAGATCACGGCCAGAGCCCCTGGTCTTCTTGCTTCCTCCCCACCCCTTGGCACTGCTGTCCCCCAACATCCCCATGGCTCACTCCCTCACTTTCTTCTGGTCTCTGCTCAGATATCTTAGTGAGGCGTGCTGTCTTTATGCAAATGGGTAGTGCATTCTAAACAGGATCATTTGGAGCTTGTCTAAGAGAAAGTTAATGGAAAAATCAAAGAAATAGACACAGCACGCGCGCTGTGTGTGTGTGTGTGTGTGTGTGTGTGTGTGTGTATACAGTTGCCCCTCAGTACCCACAGGGGATCTGTTCCAGGACTTCCATGGATTGTCAAGTCTCATATAAAATGGTGTTGTGTTTGCCTACAACCCATGGACATCCTCCTGTATACTTTAAATCATCTCTAGATTACTTGTAATACCCAATACAATGTAAATGCTATGTAAATAGTTGTTATACTGTACATAATGACAAGAAAAAAAGTCTGTACATGTTCAATACAGATGCAACCATTGCAGGCCTAAACTACATTGTTGACCCACGGTTGAATCTGAGGATCTGGAACCTGTTCATGCAAAGGGCTGATTCCGTGTGTGTGTGTGTGTGTGTGTGTGTGTGTGTGTGTGTGTGTGTGTGTGTGTGTGTGTGTGTGTGTGTGTAGAGTGGTTTACTAAACATTACATATTGTTATACATATTATATTATACATATTATGCATATACATACATATACATATACACACACATAGTGGTTGACCAGCAGCGGCTGTTCTGGGGTGGATGAGTGAGGGCGATGTTCTGTTTCTTGCTCTGGATGCTGGTTATGGTATACAGAATGGTTGGTTTGTACAAACCCATCAAGTAGTATATTTATGATATATGCACTCTTCTGAATTTGCATTTACAGGTTAATAAAAGTTTTGTTTTTTTTTTAAGTAAGGCTTCACTAATATGAGATTTACATTTGGATGGAGATAAACAGCCAACGCACACTCCCTTTCGGCAACATTTGAGAGAAAAATTTAGCATCCTGATGAAACTCAGTAACTAACTGGCACTTTCTCTCTCTATGCAAAAGACTTACCATCCCGTGGTTGCACTGGTCAGGATCGCCTCAAACAGCAATATTGATAAGCCAGCTGTGATTATCTGTAGAAATAATTTCAACAAAAGGTCATTACACCAGCCGCGCTCTGGTAAACTCCAATGTCATTTTTTTTCACAAGCTTAGTTCATTTGAGTTCGGATTCCTGCCATCAGGTACTTCTTTCCACTTCGCATGTCCTCTTCCCCTACACGCTTCCTAGTCAGCCCCCTGTACTTAGCGGCGCCTCTGAGCCAAGCATTTGGTGTAGAAAAGGCTAAGTCTTAGTCTGTTTTGGAGGTGAGAATGTTCAAAGAAGCATTTAACTTCCAAATTCTTCAAAAAGGAGGCGCACAGCCAAGGCCGCCCTCATCTCTCTCCAGGGAAGGGGTATATTAAGATAACTCATTTCCATTTTGTCTCAGCAAAGCAGAAATCATCTCCAAGGTCAGATGTGCTCATTAACCTGTTCTCAGATCCTCCAGATAAAAACTTATCTGTCGCCCAGCCTTTGTCCAATGCACCATCTCTCTGTCCTCTCCTAATGCTCCCATCTTTCTGATCCATGACACACATTCTAAGAAACCAGGTGCATCCTGGCCGGGCGCGGTGGCTCAAGCCTGTAATCCCAGCACTTTGGGAGGCCGAGACGGGCGGATCACGAGGTCAGGAGATCGAGACCATCCTGGCTAATACGGTGAAACCCCGTCTCTACTAAAAAAATACAAGAAAATTAGCCGGGCGAGGTGGCGGGCGCCTGTAGTCCCAGCTACTCGGGAGGCTGAGGCAGGAGAATGGCGTGAACCCGGGAGGCGGAGCTTGCAGTGAGCCGAGATCGCGCCACTGTACTCCAGCCTGGGGCACAGAGCGAGACTCCGTCTCAAAAAAAAAAAAAGAAACCAGGTGCATCCTGGGGAACGGAGTGATTAAATCATTAATTAATTATTTGCAAATATCTAGAAGCCAGAGGAGAGGGAAGAGGTTACCTTCACATCTCTCAAGGCTGGAAATTCCAGAAAAGTGTCTCAGGAATGGCAGCCATAGGACTTAGACCCCAGAAGTGCCTCGAACCCCTTAGCACCAAGAGTGTGTGTGAACCAGTGGCCCAGCTCTGTCCACATTTGGAATGTCTACTTAAGGAAGGATGTTTCTGGCTTCCAATCTTCTGCATCCTGCAGGTCAAAACAGCTTCCACGGGGAAGGTAAGCTTAAGAATCTGCTTTCTTGCAGTGAGAAGTGGGATGTAGGCCTTGCTGGGAGAGGTTCAGTTGAGCTGCAGGTCCTCAGAAACGTCAGCTACCATCTCCCTCAGGGGGATTTCATGTGCTGTCCTGGAGGCCTCTTTGGGTCTCCAAGCTGGGAGCAAGGCAGCAGACAGACAGGCAGAAGGAAGGAGTATGTTTACGACCTCATGGTCACCGTTTACCATCTCAGAAAGAAGACTGGAACTACAAATCCAGAACCCTCGTGATAGGATATAAACGTGGTGAGATTTTTGGAACTTTTCTTTGTAGTTAAGTCATTTGGTATTACTTTCTGCCTTGCTTTATTGATTTGTAGCAAAAACCTTGACTACAAAAAATGACCTGGGTATTGTCCTGAGGGGCAATAAAGAAGTAGATGCCCAGCCAGAGAGACAATTCCGAGAATACAAAGGATAGGGAAAGAGATTTCTATAAGTGGAGACTAATGGTGGCTTTTCTTAAAGATCATATTGAATGACAACTTTTGAGTTGATGTGCATGATGAATGGATAAATGTCCCTCTTTTCTTTTCCTTTTTTTTTTTTTTTTTTTAGGCTGGAGTGCAGTGGCACGATCTCAGCTCACTGTAGCCTCGACCTTTCAGGACTCAAGCACTCCTCCCAGCACAGCCTCCCGAGTAGCTGGGACTACAGGCATACACTGCCACACCCAGCTAATTTTTAATATTTTCTGTAGAGACAACGTCTCACTTTGTTGCCCAGGCTGGTCTTGAACTCCTGGGCTCAAGCAATCCCATCTGCCTTGGCCTCCCAAAGTGCTGGAATTATAGGCGTGAGCCACCGCGCCTGGCCCTTCTTCTTCTTCTTCTTCTTTTTTTTTTTTTAAACATTTAATTTAGGACTTCTGCATCTACGGTCATAAATGAAGTGGGCTAAAATGTTATTACCTCTCAATGCAATTGTCTGGTCTTGGAAACAATGTTGTACTAACCACATAAGTGAGTTCATCAGCTTCTCTGCTTATCCTGCAACAGTTATAGATGATCTTGACTCTGAAAGTTACCCCTGACTTGAAGGCCCCTGGACCTAGATCTCCTAGCTAGGGTGATCTTTAACAGCTATTAACCTAATCAAGTCTTCTCTTTCTTGTTGTTGCATATTTTCCATTTTCACTTTTCCCAAAAATGCATTTCATCCAGGTCTCCCGATTCATTAACATTTAGCTGTTTGGAGAAATATTTTACATTGCTTGTGCCTGTTTGATTACCTTCCTTTTTATTCTTTTTTTGTTGTTCTTGTTATGTTTCTCTTCATTCTCCCCACCCTCTTCATTAGTCTTGACTAAAGTTAACTATGTTGTTAGTCATTCTTTCCTTTTGCAACTTCTTAGACACAGCCTGGGATGGTGCCAATGGAGATGTATTTCTTGGACTTGCTGAGAAAGGCTCTGTCCCACTGATGGATGTTGGCTGTGCTGGCAGCTCGGCATAATGGAACACTTGCTTGATTTACAAGTTGGGACCCAACTTGTCTTTTCTGTGTCCTCACCATTGTCTTTATCGTCCTTGCCTGTTTTTACCAGCTGTTCAAGGCCTTCTTTGATTGGCTTCTTCTCTTTGTTCTCTGATTGCCTATCTCAGATGACTTTCAGTCCAGCTGGTAAAAAAGGACAACTGCCCTGGGTCCCAACACACCCACAGCCTGGGCTTTGTGCCTCTGCTCCTCTGTGAGCCTCTTGAGCTTAGGAGGAAACCTGTCTGCTGTGAGATAGACAGCCGTTCTGCTCATTCCTCTGAACTGCACCTTTTGCCAAAAAAAACACATCTTAAACATTTTAAACCAGCCCTTACTTGAAAAGAAGGTAGGTTTAGCAGCCACGCCGGTGCCTTCGCCATCTGCCGCTTCCTGGAAATGTTTGTATAGTCTCCTGCCTTCTCCTGAGCCACCTTTTCAAAATTCTCAAGAGTTGTATCACTCAAGGGAGCAAGTGTGCTGCTGCCTGAGACCGTTTATCTTATTTCTGTAGAGAATGTAGACTGAAGTTGTTTGCACCGTGGGACAACTGTGGGGTCAGACGGGCCCAGTTTTAATCTATTTGGTACAAACTTCTTGCTTTCTTTTACTTCCATCACAAGCCCAATGGTCAGCTCTCTTTTTAGAGGCATTCTCTCTCTCTCTCATTCTCTCTCCCCTCTCTCTCTCTCATACACACACACACACACACACACTCTATCTCCCATACACACACACACACACACAAACACACACACGAATGATCACCAAAGTTCTACTATTTCATAAAAGTCAGTTCATAAGAAAGGACAGCTGGGCAAGGTGGCTCACGCCTGTAATCCCAGCACTTTGGGAGGCCAAGACGGGTGGATCACCTGAGGTCAGGAGTTTGAGACCAGCCTGGCCATCATGGTAAAACCTCATCTCTATTAAAAAATACAAAAAACTAGTCGGGTTTGGTAGCGGATGCCTGTAATCCCAGCCACTTGGGAGTCCAAGGCACGAGAATCGCTTGAACCCAGCAGGCGGAGCTTGCAGTGAGCCAAGATCGCACCACTGTACTCCAGCCTGGGCAACAGAGCGAGACTTTGTCTCAAAAAAAAAAAAAAAAAAAAAGAAAGGGCAAGGAGCAGCCAACAACTCTGCTCAGAGAGGTGGACACTAGGCACTGGCGGCCTGACTCCCCAGTGGAGGACTTGCCCCCATGCACTGCCCTCACTGTGGCTACGGTTCAAATGCACGTCTCAGCAGAGTGACAGATTTCTGTACATCAGGAGCCTGTGAAGCTGCTCAAGAACACTCAAAAGTGAGACTGTTAAATCTGCTCATGCCCAGAGTCCGCTCCATTCGTAACTGCATTGAGGAAGCAACAGAAGCCAGGAGAGGCGCAGTGTGCCAAGTCTGGGTACAGGATGTCCCACGTGTAGTCACCCAGGGCACAGCCCAAGAGGCGAAGGGACTCCCTTAACTCACGTGGGGAGCCAGTGACCCAGAGATGGTGTGTGACTGCTCCAGGGACCCAGGGAGTTCGTGGCAGTGAGAAACAGAACCAAGGCCTTGACTCCTAGATCAATTTTCTCCAACAGTCAAAAACTCAAGGGCCCACGCAAGCTCTATACAGCTTTTAAAAAGAAGAACCCAGTGAAAGCAGGACTCCTAGCAGATATCTGCACACCCACCTTCATAGCAACACCACTCACAACAGCCAAAGCCAGAGGCAAACCAGTTGTCCATGGAGGAACAGACAGAGAAGCAAAATGTGGGGCATACCTATGATGGAATATTATTCGGCCTTAAAGAGAAAGGAAACTCTGATTAATGCTACCCCATGGAAGACATTATGCTAAGTGAAATACACCAGACACAGAAGGACAAATACAGTATCATTTCACTTATATGAGTTACTTGGAATTGCCAAACTCATAGAGACAGAAAGTAGAATGATGGTTGTCAGGGCCTAGGAGGAGCAAGGAATCGGGATTAGTGTTTAATGGGTACAGAGTTTCAGCTTAGGAAGAAAAATTTGTGGAAATGGATGGTGGTGATGGTTGTACAATGGTATGAATTTAATCAATGCCACTGAACTGTCCAGTTATAAATGGTAAATGTCCAGTTACAAAATGGTAAATCTTATGTTTATTTTAGCACACACACAAAATCTATTTCTTTTTCTCTGCTTAAATTCTTTTTTTTGAGACGGAGTCTCACTCTGTCCCCCAGGCTGGAGTGCAGCGGCGCAATCTCAGCTCACTGCAAGCTCCGCCTCCTAAAGCTCACGCCATTCTCCTGCCTCAGCCTCCTGAGTAGCTGGGAGTACAGGCACCACCACCACACCCAGCTAATTTTTTT